TTTTTTTCCGGTGTAACCAAGAGCTGCTTTCCCTGGACTGGACAGGCCAATCTACACTGGAGTAACAGATTGCTAATCTCTTAAGCATGTGTATTTACAGATGAATCGACGCAGCGTGATTGGGAATACTGCGCATCGTCCACCATGTCGTAAGTTGGTTCCTCCTCGCCCTTCCCTTTCCGGGAAAAAAGAGGCCTCGATAGTGCGGCGCAACAACGGCCTTTGCCTCCCCTTGCCATCTTCGTCCGTAAATATATAGTCCTTGTGTCATGTGCTTCTTTTACTTTTTTCGTTCTTTGGTCCGTCACATGTGACTTGCGCAGTTGAATGGTCTTGAGTTTACCCGTTCGTTGATGATTATTACGGGTTCGATTGATATACTTTTATTGTGTCAAACTGTTCCATCTGAGTCCCTTTTCACCATTCCTTAACGCAATTCACCATCCCAACTCCTGCTTCTTCTTCCCTGACACTCAACTAGAACCCCTCCAACCTCCAAACGTGTCAAGGCGTCTCCATCGACCAGCGCGCCATCTCACCTGTTAGCTCCGCAGCAGGTCAATCCATTTCAAAGAGTGCCTTCATTCGAGGGCATTCCTATGCCCCAACCCCAGCATTCTCCCCCCAACCCCAAAAAGCGCCGTGCTTCGCCCCAGATAAGCACTGCGACAACCATGACAGCATCTGGGTCTACAGCCGCTGCGGGCGAGGCCGCGCTTGAACCTGGGCCAGGAGCGCCAGAAGCGCCCCCCAAGAAGAAGGGAAGGACCAACACTCCGTGGACTGCGGAGGAAGAACAGCGACTAAAGACAATGCGCGATGCTGGTCGCAGCTGGAGTGAGATTGCTAAGGTAGGCCGCTGTCGGCTCCTACCCATGGTCTCGGGTGTGTTACTAATTGGAACTCATAGACATTTCCTGCTCGAACCGAAGGGAGTGTTAAGAAGCACTGGTATAAGGTAGCGTTTCAGCCATTATCCCGGATAGTGTTATCGTCCAGTGACTAATATTCCTAATTAGGATATGCACTATGCCGAGTTTGATGAAGATGAGGTAAGTTATAGCGCTTCGAGGAGGGTCTCTTTTATCATTCTGCGTCTGACAGCATGCAGTCTATAGCGCTCCGCGAGGCAATCAAGGAATATGAGGCGAGCAAATGGAAAGTCATCGGGCAAAAAGTTGGAAAACCGGCAAAAGTGAGCCCCAAGGATCCTAATCTGAGTCCAATCTTTGACATAGATGCAGGCATGTGAACAGTATGCGAAAGAGCACTTTAAGGACCTCTAGACGTTCGGCGGAATTTGACGAAGACATGATCATCAGTACATGAGATATCTGAAACGTTCGTTCATGTTGCTGGGGAACTGGGCTCGCGCATCGGCGATGCATGCTCTTTTATTTTCATTTTTCTATTCGGCAACAATTTGCACACTACTTGGCGAAGTGCTTGGAGTTGGCCTTGCTGTCCTTTCGTTTTGTTCTTCTCTTCTCTTCCTTTACACTTGGAATACCCCACTTGTCGTCTACAACTCTTGATTCGCAATCCATGATAGCCCTCTAAATCAATGCGATGAACCTGCCTCATATCCAAGCCTTGAAGAGGCGCAAATAGACCGACCCGTCAGTGCTTCTACCAATGTGTCGTCTTTACAAACGACTGTAGATATTGCGCCTAATCCATACGTAATTGGCGATCAACCTCTGCACTAGCAACTGGAAGCTCCATGAGTTCCGCACCTATGTCATTTTATGTATGTTGAATTCTCCATGATTCAAAGGTACGTCAACAACGGTGGTAGCCTATCATTGGCGGAATCCGCTATCGGAGCGGAGAACCGAACGACTTCCCCGCGGCAAGAAAGTGGGAATCTTTCTTCCCTCTCAGAATAAAAAAGGTGACATTCCCTTTGCCACTTCTTTACTCGAGTCGTCTTGTTCACGAAGCTTCCATAACCCTGACAAGCTTTCTCCGCATCGCAACGGGCTCTTGTATTTACTCCACAGGTGAACTCCATTACAACCTTTTCTAGGAAAAGATTTCCGTTTAATCCAATTGAGAACCCGATTGGCTAACTTTTGGAGTCTTCAAAGTTGTAGTTGCAATAACGATTCACCAAAGTCGTTGGGAAAACAAAAAGCAATTGTTACGAGTACAGCTCTCCCGTCTTCTCACCGGATCTCTATGCAAGGGATGGCTATCATGAAGACAAGTAGCGTGGTTTTGTCTGTCGATCAAGGTATCTAGGTAATACGCCTGCATGATGACCGGTGTTCGGCAACGCTGTCATACACAGATCTGATGCAATATACCCGGTCATGACTCGTGTGTTTCTTGGCTTGTTGTCCTCGGACGTGGGTGCAGATGATGTGGCAGCAGTTGTCGTTCTGAGAATATACGGTTGAACTTGATCTGGATAATTCCAGCGAAAGGACTCATGCGCGCTTTTTCAACCCTCATTTTCTACATGGGTTGATACTGACTTGATAGTAGTAGCATGTCCTCGGAACCTCCTCTGTCTACCCTAAGGGTAAACTCTGAAAAAGAACCGTCAAAGACCCCCTTCACTGATCACCCGTCCCATACTGCAGAGTATGATGGAGAGGGTTGTGATGCGCCGGACGGCCCTTTCTTGTCGCCACGCATTGCTGCATATGTGAGGAGATTTGAAAACCAACTGATCGAATACAACCTGGAAGCCCGTGGTATTGAAAGGGTGCAGCAACATGAACGAATGAAAAAGTTGACTTGGGTCTCGTACCTGCAAGCGTTCTTGCTCTGGGTCTCAATCAATTTGGCGGCCAACAACATTACCCTAGGAATGCTGGGGCCCGTTGTGTACGGCTTGAGCTTCCTGGATTCGGCACTTTGTGCGGTTCTGGGTGCTTTCGTTGGCGCATTAGTTGCCTCATGGATGGCTACATGGGGGCCAGTGTCCGGCGTCCGGACTATGGTGGGCTTTTCCCAGGCTAAACCGACTATTATGCTATATACTAATATGATATAGGCATTCGGACGCTATACGATGGGGTGGTGGCCGAGCAAGATTGTTGTCATCCTGAATCTGATCCAAATGCTTGGGTACTCCTTAATTGATTGCGTAGTATGCGGGCAGATCTTATCTGCCGTGTCACCAAATGGGAACATGTCGGTAGCTGTCGGTAGGTTGTCATGGTGTTGAGAATTTCAATTGCAGGTGCTGATCCGATGGTAGGCATCGTGATTATCGCAGTCAGTTGTTGGGTGATAGCCACGTTCGGTTATCAGGTCTTCCATTACTATGAACGGTTGGTGTGGATGCCCTTAATGAGTTTAATCGTGTACTGACTGCGTCAAGCTTCGCATTCCTTCCCCAGATTATCGTAGTCTCTATACTCTACGCTGTGTCTTCATCGAAATTTGATCTGTCCGCGCCTTCAATCGGGGATCCTCGCACGCTCGCTGGGAATCGGTACGCCTTCATGACTTTGCTATTCTGCTGTGGCCATGACTAATACGATTACATTTCATTAGGTTATCGTTCTTCTCTATCTGTCTCAGTGCTGCAATCACTTATGCCCCATTAGCAGCCGACTTCTTCGTCTATTACCCTGAGAGAACATCCCGAGTGACACTCTTCTCACTTTCATTGGTAGGCCTCATTGTATCATTCACTATGGCGTTTCTTGTCGGTATCGGACTTGCATCTGGTATCTCGAGTCATCCAGAGTACGGCGCAGCATACTCTAGGGGTGCAGGGGCACTTATCGTCGAAGGATTCGGGCCTCTTCATGGGTTCGGAAAGTTCTGCTCGGTGATTGTTGCGCTAGGACTCATCGCAAATACTATCCCACCGACCTATTCCGCCGGTGTCGACTTCCAGGTTCTTGGACGGTACGCCGAAAAGGTCCCGAGAGCTATATGGAACACCATCGGCGTTATAATCTACACCGTCTGCGCATTAGTTGGTCGAAGCAACCTTTCCGACATATTCACCAATTTCCTCGCTCTCATGGGCTACTGGGTCGCAATATGGTTCGCCATCATTCTCGAAGAGCGATTTATCTTCCGACTCCGTACTGGGTATAACTGGAATGTGTGGAATGACCCCTCAAAGCTACCTGTGGGCATCGCCGCGTTTATTGCTTTCGTAGTCGGTTGGGTCGGCGCAATCCTGTGCATGGCGCAAGTCTGGTATATTGGTCCTCTTTCCAGATTAGTGGGTGAATATGGCGCAGATGTAAGTGATACATTGCTATCCTCACTACCCTAACAAACCTAAAAGGATATATCTAATCTCAGATAGATGGGTAATTACGTCGGATTCACCTGGGCTGGTCTCGTATACCCGCCATTACGGTATGTCGAGCTGCGCATGTTGGGCCGGTAACTGTCTAAGAATATCCGTAACACTTGCAATCAACCGATTACTGTCGACTCATATCTTGAAGAGGTGCATACACCCATGCCCGTCCCTTGCTTCATATAAGCGTCGTCCTGAGCCAACAGGAAACAACAAGAGACCAAAACGTCATATCCAGTGGATTTCACCAAAAGCAACAGTCTGAGCATAATATCGCTTTTTGCCCTTAACGCTACACAATCATTTATCTTCTCAGCCAATCTCCATTCTGGGAGTCTATCAGCCCCAGTATAAATCATGTATTGTACGAGTGACAAAGCTTACTCTACTTCTCTTGGTTATTTCTCACTTCGTTATTTTTAAAAATTAACAATGACACTAGTGCAATCATACATGTGAGATAAGTATAATCGTTATTATCCGGTGTAAGAAAACGACCTGGGTAAGCGGAAAATACAACCATGGACATTGGTTCGGAGGGAAGGAAGATTGGCACGTGATAGTGATCGAGATACGTAAATTTCCCGGACTTACCGCATCATGCCACCCGATATTATTCTTTGTCTCGCTAGCAGATAACCATGGAGAGAGTTGTAGAGCTAGCCCTATTAGACTATATGGACAGAAAAAAAAAGGGCAAGAAAACTAATAATCAATTAGACACCAATCACTTCTTTCCACTCAACTATTCTACAAGAGACAAATGCCGGATTCCACAAAGATACAGCCACCCCCCTTCTCTCTTTTTCATGATTCCTGTGTTCTTTTCCCCGCGAGGCGAAAACATGACTGCGCTATTATTGTGTCAAAGATTTACCGGTACCAGTACTCAGGCTTGACGTAGTCGGCGAAAGTCTTGGGCTCCTCAGGAGCGGGGTGGCCGTGACCGTGGCCGTGATCGTCTGGAAGAACCGAGTAAGCAGGGGTAATTGGAAAGCTTCAATAGTCAAAGGAGACTTACGGTCATGGGCATCCTCCAAGGGTCCGATGTAGTTCAGCTTGACGACGTTGCCGCACTCGCCGCAGCGCTCGATGGGGCGGTCACGAGAGACCTGAGTTGATCCAATTAGAATTCCGCGCGCAGGTACAGAGCATGCCACTCAATGGCAATACAAAGACTTACGGTCAGCCAGTTGACGGTGTGGGAGTCAGCGGGGAAACCAGTGCAACCAGCATACTGCTCGTCACCGGCACCGTTGACGATGATGGGGTTCTCGAGAGTTCCTGTTAAAGGCATTGCGTGTCAGTCACAGTTCGCCGGCGTCGATATCATCGTAGTGGTTCCATTTGAATGCACACGCATGTAGACCACCGAAAAAATCGTAGGAGCTTAAGGGAGCGTACCCTTCCGGGAGGCATCGAGGGGCCTCATGTCGAAGATATCAATGCCCTGCATCTTTCCGACAAGTTCCAGACGCTCGAGACCAGTGGCCTGCTCGATGTCGGAGGGAACGGTACCGGACTTAGCACCGGGGGGGACGAGGTCCTCCTCGGTCTTGATCTCTGTTGTGGAAAAGAACCGGTCAGCATCGTTTGCAATAGCGTAGTGGGTGATGAATCAAAATGTCGAAGAGACGGTAGGACTGCGATGGAGGGTTACTCCAATGACATAATCCGTAGCTACAAGAGCATACGAATTGGGAATACGGCTATAGACGGGCATTGGCCGATCGTATGACAACGGGTCTGAATACCAACCTTCGAAAGAAAGGATCTTGCCATCCTTCTCAACGCCATACTTCGCCTTGTTGGCTGCAAACAAAGACTCAATGTTAGCTATTGCGTCAACAAGACTGCCTTGGCTGTGGGCATATCCCATTTCCAGGACCCAATGGGTCCACAGGAAGGGTGGTGACTGCGACGAAGGCTCTCAAGAAGCGGTCTTGAATTTGGCATTGGGCTCACGTACAGCGGATGACGGAGGAGGAGAAAGGGCGGGCAGCAACGGCCCTGACGGGAGTGCGCCGCGCGAGGGCGAAGGCTGTGCGTTGGAGGAACATTGTCCTGGTGAATTGGGGCTATAACGGCGGAGGAGGGAGGTGAGGACGTTTGGAGCAGAGGGAGTTTGGAGGTTTGAGGTGAGTTTGAAGCCGCTTCGGCCCGTGGTCGGGCGAATAGTCAGCAGTGCGGGTTGATTGGTTGCGGAGCTGCTACGGCCGCCCGGACTGACCACTTGGGCACCAATTGCCCGATTCGACGCCTGATAGGGCTTAGGGTTCGTGCATCTACATCATCTGATGTTTATCACAAGGACTACATCGTGCTTTGCTCACGCAGAAGGAGCTCAATGGTCGCTGATCCATTGATATTCGGACGGAAACACCGTGTGGCAACTTGAAAAAAAAAAAAAAAACAAATGAAATTACTATTCACGTTGGGCATCGCTAAATGGATATGATACATACATGATCTTCTACCTTACACCGAGTTGTCTGGTATAGAGCTAAACTGTGGCCATCCAAATTCCCATTACAGCCTACCAAGAAACGAAAGGGGTAATGATTAAGACGTAACAAAGCAGATATTAGGGGAGCGTACGCCGGCGCTAATGGAACCACATCCACTCGTAACTATGATGGAGGGCTTTCAAGCTGAGAAGCCCTCTCTCGACAAGCTGCTGGTGTGAAACCATTGCCAACTTTCCCCGCAATGATACGCCAGCGGTCGTTCTCGTACTCCTGAATTGCACGCTGTAGCCGTTGGACCTGTCCACAAAAAGTTAACATCCTCTGTCCTGCCTGTGTACCAGTGATATGGGTTGGAAATGCGCACCATTTCATCGCTCCATGCCACGTCCTTAGCCTTCAACTTGGTGCAGTACCGGACCTGCAATGTACCACTTGTTCGTCCCGGGAAGAAATCGGCGATTTGTTTCCATGTTAAGTTTTTGTTCTCTTTCAGTTCTACCAGCAAAGCGTCCTCTTCCGGCGTAAATTTGAGCTTGGGTCCCCGTGGCCTGGGTGCTGGTTCGGGCATCCCAGGCTGACCTACCACACTTGGCGGGCCAGAGGGGAACGGAGATGATTCCATATTCATACCATGGCGCTGGGAGTCGCGTAACGACGCGTGTGGGGGGAGACGATGGTGGTGGTGATGCTGTGGGAGGGCCACCGAATCCTGCGGTCCAAGGTCGTGGCCTTGCATCTGATGATGTTGCCCAGCGTCCCCATGAACCGAGAAGAGCATCTCGGGTGAGTGGTGCGTCGGTTCAGCAGATGATTCTGATGGGAGGATGGATAATTGTGGCCTGATCCCATGATTTGCGTCATCGCCTTCTCCCTCAGTTTCGGAAAGGTGCCGTTTTTTACCCCGCTGCATCGACGGGATATCGAAGCTGGTCGGTGCGTATTGTACCGGAAGCTGCCGTGAAAGCATCTGGGCCGGTGTGAGAACGACTTGTTGGGAGAGTCCATGGGGATTCGCGGTTGGGAGAACGGTCGCGTTTGCATGATGGTGCTCAAATGCCGTGCTGCGCGAACTTCCTTGCTGGAAAGGAGTATCTGGCGGCTTCGGATGTTGCAGTTGTGGCTGATGCGTGTGGTAAACAAGCGTACTTGTATGTTCCTCGGGCTTGCAGCTGGCATGTTGAGCATAATCAATGGCATAGTCTCGATATTCCGCCAGCGTCGCAGACATACATCAGCGCTGCTAGAGCATAAAAGCCCTGGCAGGCTATCTGATCACGTTTATAAAAGAAAGAGGGAAGTGCGTCTGAGCGGGACGTGGAGGTGTCAACGCGGATAGATGACACTTCGCCGAAAGAGCGACAAAGACCGATATTTGAATGGGAAGCAGTGGGCTGATTCTTGAGGCGTGGGACCAGAAAAAGAAAAGCACCCTCTCTCCCCATACACTATACAAAGACCTTGATCAAAAGTACCCAAGCCTCATGCTTTTGCTAATTACTAGCCAAGTTCAAAGGCCCGAAGCTGTTCCAGAGTCAGAGACACATACACAGGTCTAGAATTTGGTACTGGGGTCGGTTTAGGGTCACGGCAAGGAGGAAGAGGGGAATGGTGGTAACTCGGAGGTATCAGGGGATAGTTAGAATCATTTAGAAGAGGGGTGAGATAAAGACGACCTGTACGGTCGCCTTGTACCGAAGCTGGGTAAAGGGGATGGATTAGATTGCGCTCACCAGGGGATGCGACGGTTTCTCGAGCTAGACCGCTTCCAAAAGGCTATCGTTCTTCAACCAGTGCAGGATGTCCAAGAAGAAACGGGAAAATCGACTTTGCCAGATCTGAGTAGTAAAGGATTTTAGGTACTTTTTTCAATCCAAGATGATCAGCAATTCGAATTCTCCAAACGGGTTGCAACCCGTGGGCCCCCGTTGCTTGATAATGCAGAAACGTCAGGAAAAGGAATTGTGGGATAACGAATGTCACGACAAATCTGGACTCTTTTCCCCCCGGGTCTACGTTGTTGTGCACCAGAGTTCAAATTGATAGGTTGTAGGATATATAACGATATCAATAGTGGACGGTAGAGGAAAAGTTCTGGAAAATAACAACAAATGGGAAAGAAGAAAAAGAAAAAACCAAGGTGAGTAGTATTTCGGATTTGAGCGAGACAGCCGAAGTATACGTCCAGAATGAGCAAGATGCAGGTGGGTAAAAAGGGTAAAAATAAAATACAAATCTCCAGGTTTAAAAAAAAAAATATATATAATAATAATAATAATCCAAATTAAAAATTCTAGAATTAAAAAAAAAAAAAAAATTTAAATAAATTCAAATCAATCCAACCCGAAATAATCATAGTGAGAAAATAAAAATCCCCAAAAATCAAATCAATTCACGTCAGCCATTTGACGGACCTGCGTTCCAGTCAAGCTTAACCTGCAGAGGAGACCCAGAAGGGACAACGGTCATCTAGTACGCCAACACGGCGAGGTTGCTAGATCACCGGTTGCGACTCACCGAGCCGTCTAGCAGAGTGCCAAGGCATGACCGAGTCGTGGAGAAAGAAAGATAGGGCACCCAGGAATGGCCGGGATGAAACACTAAGCTAACAAAGAGTCTCACACTGTGCGGTTAGAGAACCCGTGCTCTTGGGATCCCATACAAACAAGAAGATGATCAACGAAAGCGGGGAGATCCCACGACCAGTTCTTACGTATGTAGGAGATCCTAAGAATGAGTTAAAAGTTAACTTGTTCTGTAGTAGAGGGTACGTATTATACAGAAGTGGTCAAGTGGATAGATAGGTAGGATAGAGGCAGGTATCGGGTCAAGGGAAACAAACCGGCCGTCAGAAACCTGTCAGTGTGCTGCAACTAGCTCAGGTAATCGATCCTTGTCGACCTGACTTTCCACCCCCCCCTGTCAGGAATCAGGACCAGGGCTGTCGTACGTCGTCGCATCACCTCCACTCAGTGATACGCTAATGGACGAGCGTGAGCAGTCCCGGCGAGACATCCACGAGGGAAGGATGGCTAGCGGACCGTGCTAGTATGCTGCTTGGTGGACCATCCATTGTAGGCTCCAGGGAAATCCAACCAAGCCTTCTAAAGTCGAGTCACTGGAGAACGACCCTGGCCCTAAATACGCCCCATAGCCTCGAACTGGAGTGGGAACCCGGAGTTGTTTGACGGTACATACCAACTTTGCTTGGAAGAACAAGGGTGAACGGTCTTTTCCCAACAATAGTTTCCTAGAAATTTGATAAATTTTCTCTCTTTTTTTTTCTTTTTTCTCTCTCTCTCTTTCTTTTTCTGCTCACGTTCAAGGTAGAGATCACGCAAAAAAGGCGCAAGCAATGGTAAACGGCCCCCCCCACCCACGTTTGATGAATCCCAGTCCAGTCCGTTTATTTTTTTTTGGTTTTCCCCCTTGTCTAATCCTTCGGCCGGGACCGATAGCAATGGCAGATGGATGCCGGTGCCCTGACAAGTGGCTGCTCAACTTCAACCACGATCAAAGGAGCTTTATCCAACCTTAATTTTCGCGATCACCTACCCCCAGAGGCAGTCGCTGGTTGTAAAACGGTCGGAAATAATAGCCTGGCTAGCGCCCGAGAACGTGTGGCGAAGAACGGGTTGTTCAGCGCCGTCCCATCACTAGTTTAGTTTAAGTTCCTATCATCATTTTACTTAAACGGCAAGTAGGGGCTTAAAACATACGTAAGAAACGCTCCATCCTCGGGCTAGCGCCGACTGATACGCGGTACGATATATGACTCGAGACCCAGGTGGATCAATCGTCGAGGTTATCTAGTATAATCTTGCAGCTTAAGTTAGCATGGTCCGAGTGATTTTCCGGAGTGTAATTTGACTTTGCTTCCGAATCTGTGAATTCATTGGATCAATGGTGAGACCATGAAAGAAGACGATCTTCAAAAGTTCCCTGGCACGGCCTGTGGTTGCCCTACACGAATTAATTATTTAAAAAAAAAAAAAAAG